AGTGTGATATATTTAACAAAACCTACCAAATTATTCCTTAGAACTAATATAGATATGCTACACATTAGTGTGATATATTTAACAAAATCTACCAAATTATTCCTTGGAACTAATAATAGATATGCTACACATCAGTGTGGTATATTTAACAAAACCTACCAAATTATTCCTTGGAACTAATAATAGATATGCTACACATCAGTGTGATATATTTAACAAAACCTACCAAATTATTCCTTAGAACTAATAATAAATATGCCACACATCAGTGTGATATATTTAACAAAATCTACCAAATTATTCCTTGGAACTAATAATAGATATGCTACACATCAGTGTGGTATATTTAACAAAACCTACCCCCAGGTGACAAAAGGCTCAATAACTTTTAGTAACTGGAGCATAGCTTCATTCATCTCCACAAAAACTCCAATGTTTACGGCTCGTAATTTCAAAAGATCTAGAATTTTACTAGTTCGGGAACACACACCATCTGATCTAAAACAGAAAAAAAGAAAAGGTAATATACCAGATACAAATTTTGAAAGTATCACATTCTTATATAAGAAACATTAAAATTAGTTAGAGGACTAAATAAACACACCACTTCTGCCTCAATATTTAATAACTTGATTAAGCCATTTGCACAATTTTATGTTGTTTTTTTTCAGATATCCATTTTAATTCAAGAAAACTGTACTGCCAAAAATATAACTATATAAATATACACTAAGATATTAACCTTAAACTATTTTTACACTTTTGGTAATAAGATTACTAAAAGAAAATGCTGCCCTATTACAAGTGGTGACAAGAAAACTTAACCTGGTTGAGTGAGTTAACACAACTGTGGTATGGTTTGTTTTATTCTTTGTAAAAAGAAAAAAACAACAACTTGATGAACTTGTTATGAAGTTTTTTAGAGATTAACTGGTATACAATGAAAATAACTCATTTACCATATTAAATTGTAAGCAACTAACTTTTTTAAATCATTAATTGGAAAGTTTCACTTTCTTTGCCCATTCAGGCAGTTACTAAGGGCAATAAAGGCTACTGTAAGCACAGCCCAAAACAAACAGCAAGCATTTTGGAACATTTAAGAAAAAGTCAAGACTATAACTGTAGCAGAAGTTGTCCACAAACATCTTTTTTTCTAGCAACATATCACCAAACTAATCTTTTGTCACACTTTCTAATCTCTACTTGATTCTAGGCTGAACTGAAGCCATGCTGGCTTACACAGTTGAAAAGAATGGTAAAAACCTTTCATTATATGTTTAGATCACTAGTCTATGATTTGTCAGATATATATAAGTAATTATGTAACATCAACAATGATTGGCTAAAATCAATAAAATGCTTTTAAAAAACATTTGTGTTTGAGCTTTGTTAACCATTGGAATTTTACCTACATAACGAGCAATCATGGATTAGTTAAGTTTAAGAAGAAATTCACAGTACTCTCACATACAACGTACTGTAATTTAACTATTTAATAATAAAGTTACGTAGTCCTACCCTCTGATACGAATGATGAATCCCAGCCGATGTTCTGTTGGAAAGTCAAATTTTGCTGGACATCTCATTGCCCACTTCAAACGTTTATTGTCCCGTTCTATGCGCCTGTACTCTTTGACAAGTTTTTCAGCACTTTTAAAACCTCCCTTCTTTCTCTGCCTTTGTTTCTATAGGATTTTGGAGGAGTAAAAAATCATTAATTGAAAAAAAAAAAGCCTTTCATATAAATTTCACTTGTAGCTGGCTATGCTTTTATTTTTGAGCTCTGTAGTAATGGATTTCATGGTAGTTTAGAAAGATTCCACTTTCAAATGAATAAAACAATATTATCTAAGCTACAGTAATGTACATTTGACATTAATTTAGCATGCATGTAAATAAGAAACACTAGACTAATGCATATGAAAACTTCAATCAAACATATTACTTAACATAATTCCACTTTAATATACACTGTTAAAAGTAACATATATTTTGTTCTCTATTTGGTAATATGACTTTTAATGTACAAAATACATTGATCATCACACTCAAGTTTTTGTTGCTATGATCTGACAAATAGAAATTTTAAGTTAAGTGAGAGAAAGGGGTCAGACTCCCAAAAGAAAGGGGGGGTTGAATATTACATATTATCTCCACTGTACAACTTTTTAAATTTTAAGCACATTTAACATTAAAGTGATCATGGCCAACTCCAACTTCACCTTTCTTTCCCTCACTGCATTTTGAATAGCTTTGGCTTTTTGTTCTGCTCGTTTCTTTCTTTTCTTCAGCAGAGTCTCTGACACTAATGTGAGGGGCTTATTTTCCCTACGAAGAAATAAAAAATAAGAACAACTTGGAAGCTAATTAACATAAATGCTTCATTTGTAACCATAAACAATTAATTGATGTAAGTAAAAATAGTTAATAAAGAGTGGTAAGTCCAGTTTCTTCACTTTTTTTTATATTTTGAAATAAATAAAAATATTTCATTACCATTTGCTAAAAATTACTGTTTTCAATTCTTTTACAATCAATACCAGGAAGAAAACTCATATTTTGTGTATAAAACATTATCTTGGTTCTGGTATTTAATATTCTCATCCACAAAGTTTATGAAATGACAAGGCAGTGCCATGTATTTACATTAATTAAAACAATTAAGTGGCCTGCCTAGACTACACGTGTATGAGGTTAGGTATTTAGAGTTCTGAGCAAAGCTGATGTCTGTGCAGAGCTTCTCAATGACTGTGAGGTTAAGCCTACTCCACAATACATCTATTAAACACCTTTAGTACAAAAAAAACACTTTAAGCAAAATGATCTGATCAAAAATTACAAACCGATCGACTTATTTAGTGAGAGACACCAGATGTAGAGATTCTTTCAAAATCTGGGTGATAGTACAGGTACTTTTAAGTGTCTATAAAGAAATTAACACACAAAAACACTACTGTCTGAGATGGGGCTTTGAGGGATGACAGATCCACTCCCCAAATATATTTTCCCTTGAAGTGTATAGTTCTATCTACATCCACCCTATCTTACAGATATGATATCATTGGTACTTCCCTGCTCTTACTTTCATCTTTGCATTGTTTAATGAAGCTAAACATTTTACTAATTACATTGGTTCAAACTGAATAAGATTTATCGTATATAAAGTTATCAACAGCAAATATATTAAAAGTTCACCTTTCTTTCTCAACTATTCAGCTAATCTAGCCTAACAGTATATTTCACTATGATAAAAAGTTAGACGAATATAAAAGTTTTTCAGAAACCATTTTGATTGCCTACAGACACCAAGCATTTATGCTACCTAATTTGTGACCTGCGTTCCCTCAGCTGAATGATTAAATGTAGTAAACCTTTTTTTTTTTAATACCTCTTCTAAAAATGTACTTTAAGTTTAAATAACAAAGTTTTGTTCTATTCACTGCTGCACATGGGAAAATTTCAGCCTAAGCGAAAGGCAACATTATTCCGACAGGAAACTCCCATCAAATAAATATCTACATACATATTTTTTCTTCACAAACATAATTGTGGAATGCTTGTTTACATTTTGAAAGAATCGAGATTTCGTGCTTCTAGTTTAAAAACAAGTAAACGTATATGACAGATAAAGACTATAAAATTCATTGTTATTTGTAAATGTAAACGACGTCTTACTCTTAGGCCTACTGAATAGTACTATCATTTTTTAGTACTATCACTAATATTACCATTTAAAACATATTAAATTAATATAATCAAAATAATATTTACAAAGCATAAAAAACGAAATTATTCATGAGTATTGAATTATAAAATGAATTAAAATTAAATAAAACAAAGCATATCTGGAATTAATAGAAACCCACATTTTCTGATATTCTGAAGCGCTACCTATGGATTAGAAGTTTTAGCTTTAATAAATATATATACGTATCAGATTAATTATATATATATATAAATCGTTTATATAATAAGATGTGCCCCAATATAATTAATCTGATACGTATATATATTTATATAATTAATCTGATACGTATATATATTTATATAATTAATCTGATACGTATATATATTTATCTGTTTTTATTTTACACACTACAAAATTTTTCAAAATTGCTAACCCTTTTGATAAATCAATTCACAAACGGACGCGCATAGAACTTGAACCTGGAGAAATATATTTACATAGTATTATAATGACACATTACATGTTAATACAGCCTGAACTGCTTTGCTCTTTCAGATTGTGCTCAGTTATTTGTGTCATACGTCATAATTTTAGTAATAACATAAAATTAATTTTAAAAATTGATATAAATGCACATTCATGATGTTAGAAAAATACGTAGGTTCAAGAAGTCTTGATAGAAATGAATAAAAATCCTATTATATATTATAAGGTTTTATTCATTTCTATCAATATAAATGCACAAAAATTATTCACATTTATCATAATGTTACGACAGCGGAAGTCACGTAACGCTGGTAACACGTCATGAGCTTCTAGAACGTTCATACCCTTTCCTGAAGCCTCGAGTGTTTACTAGATATGCGGTATTCTTGTATATAAGACGGCCAAGAAGTGACGGCAACAATGT